TTTTGGATCTTTTCAAAAACGGCGTCCGAAAAATTATCAGAAAGAAGATGAAGAAAATCAATATATTAATGTCTTCGGAGCCGTAACACTAGATCCAACAACATCAAGTAGGGCTATTGAAAATGATAGCGGAGTTTGTCATACAAAAACACTGAAGATTTTAAATAAAAATAAAAAATATAAATGCTATAGAGCAAGAAAAACCCAGCTTCTACATCCTGGAGACACAAAAAGCAGAATCGAGTTTTGTAATTGGTATTTGGGAATGTTAGAAGAAAATGCATTGTGGTTTGATCAGATTATCTGGAGCGATGAGTCAAGAATTTCAAGTGATGGTATTTCAACCGGCATAATAATCATATTTGGACAGATCAAAATCCCAATCAACAAGTAAACAAAGTAGCACAAGGACGATTTGGATTTAACGTATGATATGAGGGATGGACTTCTTTAACTAGGGCCTTGGACTTCTTTAACTAGCGCTTTCGGAAAAACGAAATTTATCGAAATGCAAATAGACCATTAGAAGAGTTACAAGATAGTTTTGTTGTGGCTTTGCAAAGCGTAACCAACATACACATTCGAAATACTGTTAGCAGCGGCGTGCAGAGACGGTGCCAACTCTGTCTACATCTGCCAACATCTTCAAAAAGTACAAAATTTGATCCCCCTGTAGCGTCGAAACCGATCGAGATAGCCACGATCCTTTGGACCATTGTGATTTTTTCAAAAAAAGAACCTGAGACTGCAGTATTAAAATTTGAATAATTCTCTCCGTTTTCTAGATACCCTACATAAACAACCAAAATGGTCCACCCTGTACAAATGAATGGATCTATATTATTAAGGCTTTTATATCACCTTTTATGTCTAACAAATGCATAAAAAAACTTATATCTTTAATCTAATTAGAAAATATTTTAAAAGTGAATGTAAAAATTTATTATTATAGTAAGTCAATTCCTTAAATGATTTTTTATCTTTTTTTTTGTTGAAAAAAATTGATATGTTTTGAAAACAAATTTGTTGAAAAAAAAACATTTTCCCTACCCCCACAGAGTGTGCACAAGGGAGGCGTGCACAAGGAAGTATATCCTTGTAAACAAGGTGTATAACTTTGCAGGGTGTTCATTTCTTAAAAAAAGCCTGTATGAAAAAGTTAACAAAAATGATACTTGAGTAGTTAGAGGTATAGGGTGAGTGAAGTGCAAATATTTTCAGGGATTTTTTCAGGATTTCAGGATTTTTTCGTTTTTTCGTTTCGTTTAGTTTTTTCGAAAATTTAGGCAATTTAATAAAACTCAGTTTTTTTCTTTATGCTTTTATTTTTTTTGCTTCTGACAAGGGGGGGGCGAAAAAATATTTTACCTAAGTAACTTAGAATTGTAAAATTGATCTCTGATATTACTATGGTTACGGCTTAACTCTATAGTTACGGCAGTAAAAGGGATGCAAATCGGCCGGTCTCATTTTTTTAAATTAAATCATTTTTTAAAATTTTTGAAATTGAATATCTCGGTTATTTTCTACTTATTTGAAAAACGGTAAATAGAAAATATGTAGCTTTTACCGAGATCTACCAGCCCTGAAAATATTTGCACATATTTAAGACTCACCCTGTATATATAAAACACAATAAATCTATATTTCCTTAAATGTTAAATTTGACAGATAGCCAAGAGCAACCAGTTTCATTTTATTATGTCATTTCTAATCCAGCTAAAAGGAAGTGTTAACGGAAAGACAAATTTTACCTTAATCCATTAAAAAAAATCTCTTATGATAAGGACTTTATATGTGACATTTGTGTGAATCTAAACAAGTTCTAGATACTTTATAAAAAAATAAAAAATAAAGATCAAAATAGTCTCTGGATAATATTGGTATTAACTTTTATTTTTTGTTTTTGGATGCCCACCATTATTTTGACTACTAACTGTGTACTAGAGAAATAAGTTTCACGCTGATTAAATATATGACACAATTTTGGACACCTATCAACAACTTTTATTAGATGGAAGATATCCAAGTGTTACACGGTGCGATCATGGCTTATTTTTATCAGGATCTCGCCGATATTTGGATAGTACTACAAGCGGGAGGTCAGCCGCTAGTGTGCGATTTTTTTTCACGAAACGGTGCGCTAAAAATATGTTTTTGTGTGTGAGGTAGGCCGGCCATCTGGTCGGCAGTTAATTATGAGCCAGATTTATTACAATGTGGGGGATATACATATAAAGTTGACTGACGATACTTAAAATTTATTCTGAACAATTTTATGGTGAAAGAAAAAATTGGAATAATATGATACCCCAGTCAAATTAGTTAAAAAAAGGCCTATCGGTGGAAACAATTTCCATGGTTTTGAAAATGTTTTGAACGATTCCTCTACACTTGGGCTGATATGTGTCAAAAGTCCCCGAAGATAGACGATGGGCTCGAGGAGTGGGGAGCAGTTAAATGTCAATTGTTTCACTCTTTTTTGCTTATATCTCGGAAACTATGACATCTACCAAAAAACGCTCTATATATAAAAATAAAACTGACAAAGCTCTCTATAAAAATGATTCTATACTTTTTTGTTCCCGGACTTATGGTTTCCTAACTATGCCCTTCATAAATTTATACTGTTGTATTTAAAAAAACTGTATAAAACTGGAAAAAAATTAATCGGGTTATTTTATTTAATAAAAAACGGTATGTGTTAATACAAAACAAACAAGAACAAGACACCACATACCAAAAAAAATATAAAAAAAAAACTATTTCTTACTTTTAAGCTTTATGAAACTTCCCGCATTTATGATTATATTTATCAATATAACTTATGTACAAATACAAATTAATAATATTACACAGGAATAAATAAAACAACACAAATAAAACAAACTATTTTATTAATAATAATACTTACCAAATTTTATACCTTACAGGTTGATTAATTAACTTTAATCTTATTTTTTTTTAACCAGTACCTTTTGACATTATTTTTCTGCAGTACTAAAATCCATTATTTACCTATCGTGTGATGTCGATATTTTATAGCTACTCCAGTTTTTAGTATGTCTTTAGTATGGTCCTTCTACCATATTTGAGATGCACTTATCTAGGACGAGATGGTATACGAACTTTATTGATGGTAACTTTATAAGTGTATAAGACTTTCTGCCTGGGCAGCGAGTATTAACCATAAACTGTGCTCTGGGTCTACAGTTAATTTTCACTCGATTTTTCCTCAACTTGACTTCAAAAGACACAAAACACTCGTAATAACACGAATCAAAATGCATCATCTTCCAAAACGCAGGGTATTTCACAAAAGTTGACACAAAATTATAACCTACAATTTGGCAAGACTTTGACAAGCGTCAAAAATCTAAAGGCGAGTTCATACGCATCGGCGCCGACGTGCGTTTGTCGTTCATCGTTCCGTCAAACCAATAAAACTGAAACACGATCTGTCATTTTTGAAATAAACCAGTAAAACTGGTTAAAAACAACAAGAGACCATAGCAAGAGACGACGCATGACGGATTTATATTTAAACCCATCCATAGTTAACTTAAAAATTATTAGAAACTTTTTTTAGTAAAATAAATAGATTGGTATGGGACGTCGTCGGGACGTCATCTGCTTTTCTTCTGTCATCTTCTGTCGAAATCTTACCTGAGAAAAAAAAACAGAGTATATGTATTATTAGTCCGACGAAAAAAATCAAGAGATAAAAAATGTTTAGAAATGAATGGAGATTTTTAAAATAATTTTTATTTTAAGAGTCTTAAAATAATTTTTATTTTAAGTCAGTGGCGTACCATTTTTTTCTCTAAAAATATTCAATATAAAACCCGTATGGACGGCACTGGTTAAAATAAATAAAATCCTTTGTACACCAAAAAAGGTATTGAGTTGCATAGAAGAGGTATATCAAGTTTCATAAAGATATCTGTAATAAAATCAGAGTTATTATAAAAAAATAATTACTTGATTATTTACTTAATTTTTAATTATTTTTTTCGAGAAAAGTGACAGAATTTTTTTTCTTGGTATTAAAATGATAGACAACATTTGTAATGAACCGTATGATCGAAAAAAAAATGGCGCCCACTTGGCTTGGAAATAACGATCGATGACAGTCCCCATATATTTTTTATATATAAAATGACAGCGATCTTCATTTCATAGCCATCGTCGACGAAGTTTTTTTTCGATGATGTTGTATAGTTTTTTAAAAACGCAATTTTTACTAATATACACTCATCGGAATGAAAAACGAGAACTTTAAAATTTTCATGCATTTTAAACTATATTGTAGCTAATAATAACAATTTGTAGCTAAATTATTTGACTTTTTAGTATCTCTTTCTAAATTAAAGTAAGTAAAGTATTTAATATTCTATAACTTTAAAATTATATCTATTTACTGCGTACTGTTCTAAAATTGTCCATGTATATTCTTTTTGTAATTTTAAAGACTTAAATTTTTTTGAATTGTATTATTTGTATTGTGTATTTTTTGTTGTTTTTATTTTTTTGTGATTTTGTTGTTTGTGAGTGCTTTGTCGATGAAGCTGTTTTGGCTTTTTGAACAATAAAGCGTTGTTTGTTTTGTTTGTTTTGTTTAAAAATGAAAGTTGTCAACTGTTAATTATACCAGGGAAAACAAAATGTTGATATTTTGGTGAAAGTTTGAAACACCCTGTGGAATACTAAAAGGTCAAATAATTTAGTTACAAATTGCTTAAAAGATCATCAAAATTGGTCCACCTAGAACAAAATATATTAAACTTTAAAATACATCAAAATTTTAAGGTGTCAGTTTTTCGTGCCGGTGAGTGTATGAGTATATTCTAAACTAAAAAAATCTGCCAATAAAGCTAAAATAAAATCTAATGGGTTTTTAATATAAAAAAATGGTTAATTATCCATTTTAGAGATTTTATTTCGTATAAAAATATGAATTTTGTCGTATAATTATTCAAGACCTTGTTTTTCATTTTTAGTCAAGGCAGCTCTAACAATTAAAGAAATCGTCGGTCCGGAATACGTGGAAGACGGCTCTGTCGACGAACTAGTTCTCGATTGCGATTTCCAGGCCGAACAAGAGGAAAACATAGTCGTCAAATGGTTCATCAACGGGGAGGAGGAACAAATATACCAATGGATCACCGATTACAAGAAAGCAAATGCCATGGGAGACTTGAAGGACATCATCGACGCGACCTATAAGGTTACGGATAATCCCAACACGATGTTCAGGGCGCTGAAATTTACGGAAGTCAGTCCTGCGATATCGGGGAACTACACATGTAAAGTTAGCGGAGATGACTCGGATGCTACCCTGACAAAGCAGTTGATAGTTTACTGTAAGTAATTATCATGTTTGGCGTTTTTTAAATTTTAAGGTTATTTTCGTTGATTCTAAATTAAAACTAGATTATATTGGATTAGATTCTTCGAGGTGGCTATCGGCCTGATCCACTGCGATCTTTTCAGATCTACTGTGGTCCTCTTCTGATCCTTAGGTTACATTCTTCGCTCCTATCCTTTTCAAAAGGTCTAGCAACTTTAAGACCGAACCCTCCATATAGCTCCCTGTCAATTATCATTGCTTATTACAGAGAATCTATCTAGTCTTTTATTTTACGAAAATACTATTTTTAAAAATATGAACTAAAGTTATGTTTTCTTAAATGGAACACCCTGTATATTTATAAATATATGATCTGGCTTGCCATAAGCTTCTCAAAAGCTTGCCATAAGCTTCTCAAAAGCTTGCCATAAGCTTCTCAAAAGCTTGCCATAAGCTTCTCAAAAATATATATCACTATATTTATTTTCACTATTTACTTGTAGCGTTTTTTTATAAAACATTACCACTGCGAACGGCAGCTTTTCATCGAAGAGCAGCCGTGGATAAGGTATTTCACTGGAAAGAAAACTAATTAATAACAATAAACAAAAAAAAATAGATATTGGGCGCCAGGCATGTACAGAGAAAGAAAACACAGTTGTATATTACTTAAAACTAATGGCTATATTTATTCATGATGAATTCTGATGGTAAATAGCATTGTAGAATTTTAATAATTATTATAGTGGTTAAATACTATTACAAGGCGTAATGTAATGAAACCTAAGATCTAAATCATATTGTAACTACTAAATCGACATAAATGTTCCTAATAATCTAACCACTAAATATAGTCTATTCGATATTATTTAAAATGTACGTTATTAAGTTAAGACTGAAAATCGACTGAAAATCTGAACCTAAATCTACACTTAGCTGTTCTCGAGGCAATCCTGTTTCGAAGAGTAGCAGCGTGAGGTGGGCTCATATATCTGTACTGTCTGTCGGCGATCCTGTTGGCCAATACAACAAAAGAGGCCAGAATGAGGACACCATGAATCAATACAGCCGTAGCTACTGACTAGGCTTAGAAATGGGAGCGAAACAGCATGGGGCTTACGCTGTATCCATACTGTGGCAATATGGGGACACTACCCGTACCTTGGAACACTACTAGGACCTTGGATAATGTCCGTAACTTGGACCATAACCTTGGATCATAACCTTGGACACAGTCCGTCCATAAGATAACGGTACAGGGGAACACTACCTGTACCTTGAACAATACTATATATGGGACACCTGTCCATACCTTGGACACAGTCCGTCCATAAGACCCTCGAAATACTTCCGAGGGCTCAATAATAAACAAAGAAACTGTCCTTTCTTCCATGTAACATTCTGGAGGACAAAATCAAAAGAACACCAATGTGCCAGCAAAATACAAATACGAGTTAAGTTGGGTCAATCCAAAACTCTACCCTGTTGCTTTGAAATAGCAGCTGATTCAGATTATACAGCGAGATTTAAATAATCACCATTTCTAAAAGCCGGGATAATTAGGTTAGGCTACAGAGCGCTAAAAGCCAAAGTGAGTCCACAGCACAGAGAGTTGACAGAAGCGATGTTGACAGCGCCTCCACAGAGCGATAACAGGGTTGTGTCAAACGATAACAGGGTTGTGGACTAGAGAACGTACCGGCCAAAAACAAAGTGGGGTTAAAACGCAGAGAGGCGCCTTGACATATAACATAGATCTTGACAGCGCGCGCCTCCACAGAACAGTGAAACGATAGCAGGGTTGGCGACTAGGGAACGTAAAAATTACGCCAAGCGTGCCAAATAAATTATCAGGCCTGAACGATACGGAATCCGGTGATGATAGGCCAGACATCATATATTATATATAAAAAAGACATGTAACGAACTAAAAACGTTACAACTGCAATATTTAAAAGTTTTTATTAAAAGGTCTTATTTATAAGCAGGCTTGACAATGGCAATTGGCATGATTGACATAAAAGAAACTAAAGAATTATTAAAAGTATATTGCTATCTCTCTTGTTTTATTTTGGAAGCCGTTAATAAATTCTTTATCTATTAGGGAAACTTAACTCTCTAGCGCTATTTGTAAATCTTGGAAGCTATCGTACCGGAACTTTTAGATATTCCTTTAGCTAATTTACGTGAAATATTCTTTCAGCATTCTTCTCCCTCACAACTTCATAACTTAAAAATATTAGAATTTTATTAAATTATTATTTCTCAAATCAATGAATTGGAATCAATAGACCCATATGATGGCCTCCCTGATTCGCGGAATTAAAAAATTCCCTAAATCTTGTTTGTTCTGGACGAAAATACCGTTCAATATGTTTTATTTATTTATTTCTCTCTTTATTTACAAAAGACTGGGATGCCATATTTTGATAACCTTTTAAGAAATCCGTGCAAGGATTTTATTTATATTGTTCAATAATGTAGTGCCTCTCCAGTTTTGACATTCTGAGGGTATTCTGCCGCCTTTTTTTTTTGGATTTTAATTATGAGGTCATCCTTCCAATCGTTAATGATATTCTCGCTCAGCTTCAGCATTTGCCATAAAATAGCGAACAATTTGTTACAAAACCATATAAATTTTATATCATTGTAATCACAAAACTTCAATCTATTTCCGTATTGTAACGGAAATTTAAATTTTGTCTTTATTTTCGAGAAAATTTAGTCCAAACATAAGGAATATTTTGTTGATGTTTGACCATCAAAATCTTAAAAATAAAGTTCTCTAAAAATGTGCTACAATACGGACATAGTATAATCCTTTATCTTTAATTTTCTTCTGTATTTCTGTAAAAATACCTAGCCAGTTTTACATAAAACGTTAAATGCCGATCGCTTATTTTGCTACTTTTTTGGATTAGTAAAATGGACTCTTAACATTTGGAAAGAAAATATATTTGTGAATTTAAAGACTTTTGAAAGTTCGAAGTATTTTCTCTAGGTGTTTTAACTTAGAGACAAAATTGTTTACTTGTCGTATTTCTGCGAAACAAATATATAAAATATTTCGCACTTCTTCGTGAATTGGAACCGGCTATCTAAAAACGATCATCCTGTACTCTGAACGGACTGAAAAGACGTCTTATCAGATGCTTTGCCTCGTGCCGTTCTGTTACCCTCGACTGGCTCGGCACAATACGGTTTTGCTGTGCCGGCTTTAACAGTTGTTGCGTTAATTGTTTAATAATTACGGACTCTCTCGGCTTTTCTACCATCTTAATTACCAAAGGACAATTTAAGCGAGCACCGCTGCATCGACCAATTCGGCTTGTTTGTATTTATTCTGAGCGTGCGATGTTAATAAACATTTCGGAGCTTTCTCAAGGTTAAATTTATTTTTAGTTAGATTTACTAGGTCAATTTTTCATGCCTCGATCCTAAAAGTTTTTGATTTCTAAGGCGCGATTCTCGAATGTAATACCACAAGATGTTTCGGGATTACCGAATAATACTTTTACCTGACACGAAATACGTTACCGAAACATAGAGTTGTATTCAAAAGATTATACAACGAAATAAAGTACATACCGGGTGTTGCATCGTCGGACGGGACATAGGAAATCCCATGTAAATTTTAATGGGGTCAATTATTGGCTTCCCTAATTATTTTAGAGAACAATTCTAGTTAGGTTTATTGAAGAGCACTAAAACCCACATTCAAAAGAATAACTTTAGATATTTTTGATTAGCTCGTTTACGAGTTATCGCCGATTTATTTTTAAATATTTCCCCTTTCTTATGGCCCTGTATGAGCACCAGTCAAGGTAAAAGATAACTGTCAAATGAAGTTGTCATTTCAGAAATTTACCTATTTAGTGCTTTATTATTATTGAAAACTCATTCCTACATCGGAAATCTTAAAGATGTATTTATAAATACAAATTAATATGAATTAAAGTAAAATAAAGTAATCAATTACAAGGTTAATTATAGTATTATTACAATATTCAATAACTTATTAATTTAGGTACTATTAAATTGTTAGAACTTTAGGATTTAAAAAGATGTTCAAATATTCCTCCATCGACTGCTAGACAATAACCCAGGCGATCATAAAATTCTCTTCTTACATTCGCTAGTTGGTAAACTGAAATTCTATTGCATTCGGCAGAAATAGCATTTTTTAACTCATCTAGATTTGGGTATTTTTTATCCTTGTATATCCTGTTTTTTAATTGGCCCCAGAGAAAGAAATCATTTGGTGAAATATCAGGAGACCTTGCTGGCCAATTTACTGTATGATTTAGGCCAATAACGTTTCCGTTAAAACTATTGTCTAAATATTCCCGAACAGCCAGGGTACTATGTGCCGGACATCAATCCATTTGGTACCAAACTTCCTGATTTTCCCTAGCGGCATCATGTAAAGCAGGTAAAATATGATTTTCGAGTAGTTCCAAATAATATTCTGCATTTAAATTTCGCGTAAGAAATTAATAATGGCCCGATAATATTGTGTCCGAATATCCCTGCCCAAACATTTACTTTCTGTGGATATTGCGTCCTTGTTTCGACAAACCTGTGTTGGTTTTCTTTATTCCAATATCGATAATTTTGAACATTGGGTTTATTATTTAAGGTAAACGTGCATTCGTCAGTGAAACATATGTTTTTTAAAAATTCCCTATCCGCGTTTGCTCTTTCCATCATATCAAAACAAAACGCCTGCCGCCGTATTTCGTCCCCATCTCGTAGATCTTGGTGCTTTTCATATTTGAAGGAATAGTATTTATGTCGTTTCAAAATTCGAAACGCTGTAGTGTGTTCTATTCCTATTTCATCCTCAAGTTTCCTTGTGCTGATCTTTCCATCGTTCTCTTCCACGCACAATAAAACTTCCAAGTCAGTATCATTTCTTGCATCTTCTCTTTGTTCCTGCCTTGCTTTACATCTGCAGTTATTTATTGGGTACCTTTGGTCTCAAATCTCTGGATATTCCTTGCGATTGTAGATTTTCCAGTTTTCGGTCTATTCGGATACGGAGCAGCAAACATGTCCGACACCTTTTGATAACTATTTCCTTGATAATACTATTTAATCATCAATAGTTTTTCTTCGGTAGTGTAATTCATGGCTAATATTTTCGATGTAGGTATGAGTTTTTAAACGGTTTTATTTAGCTCGACCCGTACGTTATTTGTTTATTTGGGTCAAAATTAGAAATTGAAATTTAAGTACCTTCCTGTTGTCAGATTGATCTGAAATTTGGTACACACCTTTAGTTCCGATGACAATACAATATAGTAATATCAATAACATTGTAAATCTAAGATGGCCGCCGGTACAAAATGGCGGATTTTATATTTTTCCACAACCCCCTCAATATGGGTATCAAATGAAAGGGCTACACTAGTAGAATACTGTGATTATGACAAAATTTAAAATCCAAGATGGACGTCGTTACAAAATGGCGTATTAGGTGAGGGCATGAGTAGTCGTGTCCAGAACAGTTGTGTCCAAGATTGTGTGACGTTAGAAGGACAGATAAAAAAATAGGTGATTAGATGTACCTACGTAGTTAGCGGTAGCTTTACCACCCAAGTTAAGGTAATAGGTTAAAACGTGCTGAGGACTGTATGGCATTAGGGTGGCTAAAAATGTAATGTCGCAAGCGTTTTCCCTTCAAGATTGGGCGCCTCTTGTTGTATATTATAGCCTTGCCCCTCTACTGAATCTCTGGGGGGGGGGTCGATCGTTAAAATGTCCATTACTCGTGGGAACAACATGGAAACAATAAATAAAAAAAAACAAAAAAATAAAAATCGGTAAAAAACTTTTAAGTTAAACGGTTTTATCTTACACTGAAAACTAGAAAATAATAATAACAATTAGGTATTTTGAACTTCTAGTTCAGAAATATTTTAGTACTAGGCAGAATAGCTTTTAGGCATATTAGACTAAAATAAAAACGTGGGGCCCATTAACTATTGCTGTAATACTTTCTTCTATACTAAGTGTGGATTGCATCGACTTACTATAATCGTAACTGGAGATTTTGACAATCAATAACCAGCCGTGGCGGCTTCACCAGCGAACGCCGAGCTCATGATCTACCAAAGTATAAAGATATGCTTTGCCATAGGTAGGATTTTAGAGGGGCCCCACGTTTTTATTTTAGTCTAATATGCCTAAAAGCTATTCTGCCTAGTACTAAAATATTTCTGAACTAGAAGTTCAAAATACCTAATATATAATTGTTATTATTATTTCATAGTTTTCAGTGCACATAAGATAAAACCGTTTAACTTAAAAGTTTTTTTACCGATTTTTTATTATTAATAATAATAAAGCACTAAATAGATAAATTTCTGAAATGACAACTTCATTTGACAGTTATCTTTTACCTTGAATGGTGCTCATAAGTAAATACAGGGCCATAAGAAAGGAGAAATATTTAAAAAGAAATCGGCGATAACTCGTAAACGGGCTAATAAAAAATATCTAAAGTTATTCTTTTGAATGTGGGTTTTAGTGCTCTTCAATAAACCTAAATAGAATTATTCTCTAAAATAATTAGGGAAGCCAATAATTGACCCCATTAAAATTTACATGGTATTTCCTATGTCCCGCTCGGCGATGCAACACCCGGTATATATCCTTATCTTTATTTTGCCATTTTATAATAAGAATTGACGGGATATTTTGTGGAACTGACAGAAATGACTTCTGAATTAATATTTCAAAAAATGACAATTACAATATGGCCATCAAACGATAATCACTTAAATGATCATCGCTTATTAATCACATCCTTCTATAGAGGAAAAATATACATAGAGTTGTATAATCACTATAACATACCGTCACCGTCACGTCGAGCTGCCGTCTCGACGGAAAACATGAATTAAATGAGAGTTGTGCATTACCACGACGTCACGGGTAATTATTATTTGTTACAGGTAGTGTGAATATGTTCATTGGCAATTTAAGAATATATACCAGCCACTACGTTACGGTGGCGGTACTTTATAGTGAGAATCGCGCCGAAAGTGGTTTACACATGTCCAACTTCGCGTCGGTTCAACCAAGTTGGGCGTGTGTAACAACCGTTATACTAATTATTATTAGGTCGGGTTGAAATACGTCAAACTTTTGCTCTTATTAATTATATTTTAATAATTGAAAGATGTAATTATTCTCTAATGTATTTGTTTATTTATTTTAGCGCCTGCCACGTCCTTTGAGATGGTTTTGATTGACGGAGAATTTGATGGAGATGAAGCAATTTTGTGCAATGCCTTCAATGTTTCTCCAAAGCCTGTTTTCGAACTTTATATAGACGGATAGTAAGTACTTAATTGGGTTTTAATTGTACGTGGTAATAATAACTATAAAAAAGTTCCTATTTTTATATTCTGTTACAAAACTAATGTTTCTTACTAGAACGCAGATTCTAGATAGTCAGTAGTAATTTTATAAAACTACAAATTTAGTTTCTTCCGCATCGCCAGACGGCGCAAAACACAAGGACATACACAGATTATGTATTTCAAATGTAGCGCTTATTTCATCTTGCTGGTATACGCCGCCGTGACCACGGATCTTTAACACGAGTATTGGCGTTGTCAGATTTCATTTTTTCTCAAATACATTGTTGCCGTTTGTAAAAAATGTATTCCTAATTAAAATTGGGAATGCATTTTTTTGAGATTTCTGTCATATTTAAGTTCTTAGAAGGAAGTACCAATTCGTAGGGCAATATTTATTTATATTTGCACTTGGTAAAAGCGTAAACATCATAGGAAAAAACTGGTATTAGTTTAAAAATTATAAAAGTAAGATTGGTTGACGTTGACGAATGAAGATTTTTTATGAATACTAATAATGCAACCAACTGATCAGATAATAGTATTTTTATTGTTAAAAGCCATAGTTTTATGTCTCAGTAGTAGTTGAGTATAACAAGTTTTTTTTTGTGTTTAAAAAGTTGAGTATATTAAAATTTTGTTTCTTAAAAATCCACTGTCTGTAAAGTTGACCAGATCGCAATATGATTTACATTTTTATTAGCCGACCATACCAATAGGTATGGTAGGCTATTAGGATCGGCAAAAAAAACGTTTTTTTAATTTCACTCAAAATGAGTTATTTGGGCCATAAATGACCTAAATACAAAATATTTTCATGATGTCTGTCTGTCTGTCTGTCTGTCTGCCGTTTGTAACACGATAACTCAAAAACCGCTGAACCGATTTTAACCAAATTTGGCACCCGAGAATCTGGCCATTGGTTTTTGGTGGGGGTGGGGGGTTGGTAAGGGGGTATGGGAGGGGGTTAAAAATTTTAAAAAATCGTAACTCCAAAAATACAGTAGCTAGCGAAATGCGGTTTTCAAATTAAGATTAGGAATAATATTTGCAATAAAATCCATACATATATAAAAGCTCAAAGGGCTTTTGAGCTTTTATATATGTTTTTTTTGTTACATCCATTCCGCCGAAACTGCTTTACCAATCTTGATGATTCTTTTTTTAAATGAAAGGTATATATGTCTAGATTTGTTATGAAGTATTTTTAAATTGTTGAATGGCTATTTCTTTGTGTAAATTGACTAAATATTACAACATACCTGAAAAACACCTACACAAAATACCTCCAGAAATAAATTATTTGTCATTGTCAGTGGTTTGTCAGTTAGATTATATATCAAGTTTTTAGATATTTTGGAGATCAGTTCATACAGCCAGCTTCTTTAGATACATAAATATTAGAACAAAAGTTCGTTTAAACGACATTAGTGAATTAGCTACACAAAGCGATTTTAGGAAATTCATCCTCTTAGAGAGTAAAATTATGTCGGAACAATGTGTTGTATGAAAATTCCTTACTATGTGGTCTAGAAGAATGAAATCCTACAAAAAGAATTAGAAGAGATTTTTGAAATTCATCAACCAAATGGGTAAAGTTAGTAAAAATTTACAAGAATTCAAAAACATTTTGTGGCTAGAATTGAACTTCTTTGAAATACTTTTATTTCGATAACTTCTAGAATTATTAAGATTTTTTATTTCAGACGGCTCTAATCAAAAGTTTTATTTTTGGTATACAAAGTGTGTCATAAAGTCATATACCGGCGACGGAAAAATAAAAAACGGTTTTTAAATTTTCGAATTTTCTTAAGTACATAATACCCAAGCAGCATTTGGACGTCGGGACAACGTTGTGTCACGCGACCAAACGTCGGGGCGCAACGTCGGCACAACCTCGTGCCAACCCTAGTCTGCACTAGTTTGGAGAATAATTTTTGGGCCGAAACGACGTTGGATACCGACGTTGGCTAGAAGTCTAATTTATTACAAACTGCAACGTTGTTTAAAGTCTTAATTCACAGAAATACAAAACTAATATGGCGTCTAAGTCGCGTTTTATCCGAAATTGGGATAATTATAGTAAAAATATTATTGTTATGATTTAGTTAGAGACATATGTCAGATGGCAGTGAAGGAAAACAAAACAAAAGTATTTAAGTGTGGAGGATGTTTGAAGATCATAATCATGGCTGGGAAACTTAAATGGAAATGACAGTTCATTAAAAATAGTTTTTCCTCCAAGATGCAGAGGCGCAAAATATTAAAACTGTCAATATTAACAATGCAAATGTCAATATCTGACAATAATAAAATTTGATTTTTAACTGTCACTTAGAGACGCTTTTGTTGTGATTTTACGGTTTGATTTCGTTTTGATTTGTCGAATTATTGTAAAATTAAATTCCTTCAGATTTTTTGCCAGTATTCTGTTTTAGACAATGTTTTTTAAAAATGGTGGTTTTTTGGTGGCAATTTGTGTTTTGTAATAACTTTTAATTATTTTTTATCATGGAGTTTAATTGTTGTACTCCTGGTTTCCGAAGGATACAATGGTAAGTAAATTAAACATATCTACTTACAGTTATAGATTTTTTAAATTAGTACTGCTAATAAATGCTACTTGCAGAGCAGTTATTTAATTTTTTTTACGGTGCATGTAAGGAATTAAGGACGCGCGTTTTATATTAGCATGATCAGCAGATGATTACATCTGATTTAATTTGTTTTTATTATTTCAGGTCCCAAACAGAAACAAACTGGGAATCTTGCCTACACCAAAATTATATACCTAGCCGTTTCCAATTCACTTCAAAGGGAGGAAAATTATGTAAAACTGCCTGCTATTTGCTGAAAACCGCCAAAGATTAAATTATAACTGTAACAACTTAATATATGCTATTTCTAGTATTTTTAATATATTTTTTAATTAATATCCGACATATAAGAACACTTTGTATGCTTTTAATTCAGTTGATTTATCGTTTATAATATGATCGACCTAATTAAAAGCACACAAAGTGTTCTTACATGTATGTCTAAATTTATTTTAAATTAACTAAAACAACCCCCCTTCCCCGCACCCCTCTCTTCCATTAGTATTTCTTCCTCCGTCTACCAGAGGCGCCCTTGTATAATAAAATTGAAATGTATTATAAGTTGCCTATCTATTTAATAGTATAAGTCTTTTATCTATGATCATAATTATTGAAACACTTTAACCGACTCTGTAACTCGTTACCCAAGGCAAAAAAGTTAAACGCAAACAACTTTATTGATAAATGTATTGTTTCTACTTTGAAAAATACTAATGGGCCTTAAAATTAAAGAAGTTTTAAAAATTTTCTTGAATTTTTTTTTAGCAAAATGAGAATAATTTATTCGCAGTCGAAAAAATTGTTTCCGCGTGTTTTTTAGGGTCAAATATTACAAGTTAATGTATTCAAAAAGAAGGAATTGCTATTTTAGGAACGAAACATTTTCTTATTTAACAACATGGCGGCTTTCACTTTGTTGTTTTGGAGATTAAGATGGAGTAGTTCGAGTAGTCGCATACTGGACTAATAAAGTCGCAGTTCGGCCTTAACAGGTAGTATACTAGTCGCAAGATTGCCTAATTTAGTCATCCTAGAGTCTAGCTCTTGTGCCGCCCTCTATAATCTAAATAAACGAGGGAGTGGATAAACTATCGGTAATATATGTCGATGTATATTTAAATTTAGTTTTATATGTACCTTTCTTATGTCCCATTTTAATTAATTTTTTTTATAAAAACAAAAACAGCACTGAACTGTCTGACTGAACAGAACAATGAAGTGAAAATTTAAGATTTAAGGTTATGGTTCAATACAGTTGCAAAAGGTTGTGACTCGACGTCCTACCAACGTAAGAATAAGGAAATCTAAACAACGTTGGAATTAGTAAAACAGACGACGTTTGCATAACGTTGGACTAGGTCCTGAAAACTGACGTCGGAAAACTCTCTATTGTCCAACGTTGTAACTACGTTGTCCGAATCACCTAAAGATCACTTAAGCAAATAAGGTTAGAAGACAACGTTTATTCGACGTCGCAGAAGCTTCTACTTTGCTGTAGTACTAGTCCAACGTCGGCACAACGTTATAAAAACGTTTAAATTTATTTTAATACCCAAGGTAGGGAGCTAACTATTTTTTGTACCTAATCCAACGTCGTGTTTAGTAAACATGTGGTCGCAAGTCGTGAAAATGCTACTTGGGTAATATTTAAAGAGAATAAAAATGCTCTTGAAATTGGAATATTGACGGCTTTTTATAAATTTTAAGTTAAAAATGTGTAATAAGATATGTAAGTTGTATGTATTTTTTAATGCCAAATCATAAAAAAATAAAAAAAGAATATGTTGTCCAAAAATAAAAATAATAATTTGGAGTGGGCCACTCTTATCACTTAGTGGATAAAAAATAGATAACAACCTATTCTCAGACCTACTAAATATATATAAAATTTCATCAAAATCGGTTAAGCCGTTTCGGAGGAGTATGGTAACAAAAACTGTGACACGAGAATTTTATTAGGCAATAATGTATATTTATATTAATATTGATGTATATTTTTAGTAATGATTCGTCAGAATTATCCGAAGAATTCGTCACGACGAGGCACGAGACTGTAGACAAATACGGCTTTTACAACATCAGTTTAATGCTTCCTTTTAACTCCAGCTACTTAGACGAGGGTACTACGAGATTCATCTGTAACATAACCATACCAGGGACCAACTATTCAGAAATCAAAAGCGTGGAACATTATATAGGTATTTTTTTATATCTGTCGGGTATTTCAATTGAATTTGCCATTTCGCAGCCTCATATTTAATAAGCTGCTAAGATATTGTATTTATAGTTTTCAAATGTAACTGTACCCGTTATAGCGACACAGTATTTGACAGCAATCAGAATTGGTTTTCTGTCAAAGTGGTAAAAAATTCGAGGTTTTTGGACTTCGTTGTTGCTGATTCCCACAAAACATCCCCCTTTAGAACTTAATCTTTAATGGTCATAAACGGGAGTAAAAGACTAACCGTGCGAATAAACACTGAGGCGCCACCGTTCATCAAATGGTGTAATAATTGCGAAAAATTAATCATCTAATTTTGACACAAGGGGTCGCGCTTAACTTTTTTTAAATTTTAATTCAATTTTCATTGTTTTCAAACTATATTATTAGATTTTGTTGTATTTTGCGAATGTGTAAATGTTTTTTGTTCTTATTATAAAGTTGCATTATACTAATTTAAATTATATTACATACATATTTAGAATTAAAATATTATGACATATCAGTTGCTGTCTAAAATGTCATCTTGATAACAAAAAGTTAGTTATTGTCAGAGGTAGTTAAAATATTAAAATTCACAAGTTTTAATTAGTAATTAGACAATTCTGTTATATTTTATCTCGTATTTTATATTATTTTAAAATCAAAAACATAGTGATATACAGCTTAATTTTGATATGCAGGTTCAAAACAAGAAGTGCAAGAATTTTTCAGTTTTCGTTGTCAGCCGCGGAGGTTTCAGTGATTTTAGTGTTGTCGGATGTTTTTATTTGTGAAAAAGAAATATTGCGTTTGGATTGAAAAACTAAAAGTTTTATTGCAATGTAAGTAAGCGTTTGTCCATTTTATATTTTACTTTTTTTCATATCTACGACAAATATACATATATTGAAATTGTATAATTCGTTTTAATTAAAAAATGTTAGAAAACAAGCCTGTAATTGACAGCCGTTCACACCGATTTAATCAAAAGCAAAAATAGATTCAAGCAGTTCGACGAAACAAGCGAGTAAAGAAAGTGCCCATTACATAATCAAAAAATTAAATAGGTATATACTACGGGAGGATAAAACATAATTTACCATATTAATGCATACTTTTTTTAGTCAACTAGTGTTTAATTTTTTTATGAACTTCTAAAATTATAATTATGTACCTAAAAATTTCGTTATAGCCGAAATAGCCCCAGTTATGTCCCCTTTAGCAAAACCGGTGCATAAAACTATGCTCGCTACCCAAGTAACACAAATTATTTTTTAAGAGTCTTAAGAACTGCTATATCACCAAATTAATTCAGCATGAGGTTTTATTATTTCGGCTAGAAACTGTTCTTACAGAACTAATGGAGTAATTACATGCCCAAAATAGGCGCAACTTATTCAGCCATTTTAAGGTTTATGAGCGCATATAAACACACTCTAACAGCTCTTTGGGAAATTTAATTGATTTACAAGCAATTATAAAGTACATTATAAAGTATGTATAAATCTACTAAAGGTACCTAATGAAGCTTTTATAAAGAGTATTTATAATAAACTAATTATAAAGCATTTATCTAAAACAGCCGATCACTCTATAATAGCTTTATAATAACGCATAAAAAACCAAAAAAATTCTGGATTTTTAAATGGTTTGTTAGTGCTTTATAAACCCTTTATGTAGTTTAATCGCCAAGCGTGCTCTCATAATCTCCCATTATAACCTTTAAATAGCTTTATTAAAGCTGATATATAAAAGGTTTATTATTTATATTTAAGAACGTTCTTGCAGCTATATTATAAAGAGATATTGTTTAAATGCCCATTTAGTGTAAACTAACACTCTTATAAAACTATCTAACTGCCTCCGACTCCCTTATATAACATGTATAAAGAAGAAAGTAATAATTGTGTTACTTGGGTAACGTTGAATTCATCTAAAAAGCTTTATTAGCTTGAATAATAAATTATAATACAAGTTAGACCTGAAGATCAAAAATAAATTAAAATTTTAATAAATCATGCTTCCTAGCACTTTTAGAATAATAATATAACAATTTTTTTGTGGATTCGCTAATTAACCCGTGTATTTGATTAGTCCGCTGTTTACAGTATCCTCGGATGGTGGCAGCACCGGCAGAGAATGCACCAAGCCTATACAATTTTTATTAATCGTTTCTCATGCACAATGGTCAGACCATCTTGGTTGGCCGACACTGTAGATTCTCATCAAGATGCAAGATACAGTATTGTTTGTTTATGCTGTGAAATGGCAAATATCAGGCGAAATACTAACATATTATACTACTTTTAAAATTTTTGATGCTTTTATCATGCTTAATAGTAAATTCCAATTTTTCTTGCTAGATACTGACCTACATCTCGAAATAAGCTCAGATTCCAACTCTTCTGAAAATTACAGTGTTGCTTTAAACTTTACTGAGGACTATCGATTCCAAGTTCGAGGTATTAGAAACGTAGTCATTTGTCCTATTGTTCGTCAGTAATAGCATGCTTTAGTTCCCTGTAGACCAAACTATTTTAAGACACACAAGAGACACCAACCATTAACTTGAACTTTTCTAATGCATATACATTGGGAGATAGTAGAAGTTTGGCATAATTGATGTAATATTAATAATATATCTCATAAATATATTTAGGTAATTACTTGCAGAATTCGGAACGACAGACAAAAATTAGAGTTAACGATGTAGTGTCATGAACGATTGTTTACATTCTGCCCCTTTTTATCAGTTTTTTAAATCAAAGTCTAAATTGATGAATTTATCTATTTTTTAGTCTGTTGTTTGAAGTCTGTGACATTTAAGCATAAGAAAAAACTGGTATATGATCTTAAAATTACACACATGGCCAAAATTATTGCCATATATCGTTTAAAAATATACGGAAAGGAATAATTTAAAGAATATTTTTATACATAACTTTGATAATCTGTAATAAATATTTTTTTGTTAAAATGGATATGGTAAACAATGTTTATCGTTCAGTCTCAATATTATTACAAATCCTTGCACATTTCGATTTGTGGTCTCTTGGGTTTTAGAAGAAATTTGACCATTGTTTTGGCCTTAAAATGCCTAGAAACATTATTTTACAGTTTAATAGAGTCAGAAAAGTTACACTGTCTCAACAGGGCTACCGGCAAGTTGCAATAGCTGAAATTGTAGGAGTTAACCAAAGCGATGTTTCGCGAATATTAAAAACATTCAGGGAGGCAAACGAGGTTACAGACCGGCCTGGAAGAGGTAGAAAGAGAGTTACTACTGCTGTGCAAGACCGTCAAATATCCCTAATTGCACGACTCAATCCCCTGCTTTCTAGTACTGTTATTAGAAATGAGTTAGCTCGCCTTGAAGGAGTAAATGTTTCAAGAAAGACCATAGCAAGAAGACTCCATGACAGAGGACATTTAAGAGGCCTCTACGTGTTCCAAAGCTTAATTTACAGCACAAAATTACTCGACTACAATGGGCTGAGGAGATGAGAGCAAATGGACCTAATTGGAATTTCGTCATGTTTAGTGATGAAACAAGAATAGGCCTAGTGTCAGACTCGCGACGAACTTTGGTCTGGAGAGCATCAAGTGTCCCGTTTCAAGGGGGAAGCATTATGGTATGGGCAGGTATAATGCACGGAGCTCGAACTCCTCTTATTTTTATTGATGGCACAATGACAGGTGCCTCATATCTTAGAGATGTTTAGAGCCTATTGTGCGTCCATTTCGAGGGGCAGTGGGGGATGGATTTCTTTACATAGACGATAATGCTCCTCCCCATCGCACTTTAGCGTTTCGTGAGGAAGCTGCGCGCGAAACATGGGAAGCCATTCCTCAACATCTTCTGGACAACTTAATTGAGAGCATGCCACGTCGTCTCACAGCTTGCATTGAGGCTCGAGGAGGCAATACAGCCTATTATTGTGAGAAATAATTAAAATTGTTTTCAATATTTTCTGTTTAAAATGAAATTTGTTTTTGTTGATTTTCACTCATTATGAAATAAAATTATAATAACAGCCTAGTTGCACTTAGATTTTTAATTTTATATTAATTAGTCGTGTAGTAAGCCAATATGTCCAAAAATATAAAAAATAATCATATTAGGTCCAAAATAAAATAAAAAATATCGTTATGTGCAATAATTTTGGCCATGTGTGTATACGCAGGGTGTCCTAATGTTCTTTGGACATAGAACTACTACGGTAATCGCAAAACATTTTCCGATGCATGTCATCAATCATATCGAATTTAACACTAAATCCTATAAACCCGACTAAATTAAATTTTAGCAAAAGTGTTTAAATTTGTTGTATAACTTAAGATACCTTCATTTTAGTTTATAGAGCAAATGATTGTAACAGATATTTTTAAAGCTGCTAAAATTAGTTTAAAGCTATTTTCATTATCGCCATGTTGGTCATATTGCGCCGCGATATCTTTTTTTGCCGATTTTCATAGTATTTTTTTAAGAATTGCACTTTTAAGCACAAACAGTTCTTTTAAGAACTAAATTTTCGAGATTTTGTATTGATTGAACAATATTTTTTTTCTTGTTATACACATATATTGAGATATTAATACTACAGTTTAATAAAGTAGGTTTTCATATTCCATAGATGTATTAAATAGTCCTTATGCTACTAAATTATAAGTCGGATACTGTTTAATAAGGATAAGTTCTTTACAATATGACAACACCGATTAGAGGCGAGGGAGCCTATTCATTCATTTATTACCTTCTGGTACGTGTCGCACGTGTGCGGTAAAGCTTTGTTGCCGCTATCTCCCCGGCTGTATTAACACATTTTCTTAGCTTGTAGTCCTTAAGTGTTTATTTTATTGACTTTTTCTGTTCAAAAACTATAAAATATGGTTCGCCAGTGCCAAATTTGCAAGAAATTTGACTTAAATAATCCATTTAAGTCTTGAAACGACTTTGGACCGGTAGGCAACTCTCAATTTACCCATTGGCAGTCAGTGGCGTTGTTGTAGAAAGGCGCTTATTTAGATAATATTTTAGTAAAATGTAAAATCTGAATTTTTTCTTTTACATTACATTATTTACTTACTTACATTGTAACAAAATCATAATTATAACCCTGTTAATAATTAATACTGTTTTTATTAAAAATATATTCCGGTTTATTCTAAAATTATCTTCAGAATCTAAAATAACGTACAAGAATTTTAAAATGATACCGTATGATCGAGAAAAAACGGCGTCAGCGATGGCTATGAAATGAAGATCGCTGTCAATTTATATGTAAATTTATATGGGAAATGTCATCGATCGTCATTTCCCAGCCAACTGGACGCCGTTTTTTTTCGATCATACGGTATTACATTATGAAACAATATTTTTTAATATACCGGGTCGTCTCAAAAGTGGCTCAACCCTATAACTTTTTTTATTTTTTCAGATAAAAAAACAGATTTGTATGTTAGTAGGTATATGACATAAATTAGGATTTATTGACGTATTCAATTGTTTTGGTCTCTTCCTGTTTCACCGAAATGATTACATCTTTTGATTTTTAAAGGCACCCTCGGTATATTGCTACTTTATTCGATAAAAATGACACTCTGAATAGAATGACATATCATATGTCAACTTTTGACATTGTCGCTTAAAAACATATCCTATTTTAAATTTCAATCCAGTTTTTTTCAATCCACTAAGTTTTAATCAAGGGAGCCTTGGAAAAATAGTTTTGATCGTCTAATAGGTTTCGTGTCTTGTCTAGGCCGGTTAAAAGATGTACAAATCGTATTTTTAATCATACATATATCAATTTTTTCAAATGGAACAAGGGGTGACTCATTAGCATATTTGGAAAAAGCATTTTTTATGAATATATTGATACCACACACTTGGTATTTTGAGTCAAATTGTCGTTATGAACCGCGTGTTACAATTACAATTAAACCATATGCGAAAATGTCAAAAGTTGACATATGATATGTCATTCTATTCAGAGTGTCATTTTCTATCGAATAAAGTAGAAATATACCGAGGGTGCCGTTTAAAAATTAAAAGTTATAGTCATTTCCGGTGAAACAGGAAGTGACCAAAACAATTGAATGCGTCAATCAATCCTAATTTATTTCATATACTAACATACTAAATCTTGTTTTTTTATTTGAAAATATAAAAAAATTATGGGGATGAGCCACTTTTGAGACGCACCCGGTATAATAAAGACAGTACCGAGTTAAATAAATGTAGTTTTTATTTTATCCACTTCCTATCACCTTCCTTGCTTTAATGGAACAGATTTATGTTTTCTCTAATTTACATAATAAGACGTCACTTAACCAGAAAAAAAATTACAACAATCATATTTTTTTTTCTCTCCCTGTCGCCGTTTCTATTATATCTGTGGAATAGATCCTGTTTTGATTAATATTAGGGGTTGTAAATGTTTGACTAAAATTAATAATTTATTATTAATTTCAAAAATTACCTAATTTCGATTATAAAATTTCTTCTATAACGTGTATTTTATTATTTTTATCCTTTTTGGACTCTAATTGTTTTTTCTAAACTTTTATTTTAAAAACCTTTCCTAAATCTTAATAAAATATAAAAAAGTTTAAATACGATATATTTTTAATTTAATTATAGCTTCATTAAAATAAAAAAATTACCCGGCTATGATACGGAGAGTTCAGGTGTACTTGAGAAACGAAAGACAGTGTTGTGTTTCTCGGCAGAGTCGTCAAGGAACGACCGTTACGACAGAGACAACCTATCTATCGCTCGTGTCGCACTCGTTATAACCTAAAACAATAACACAACAATAACAAGACAGTGTCTGACCGCATGTTCCAGCTATTTATGAATGAGATGCTCAGTCTATATTTTATTTTAAGTCTATGATTGTAACAGATATTTTTAAAGCTGCAAAAATTAGTTTAAAGCTATTTTTACTATCGCCATGTTGGTCATATTGCGCCGCGATATCTTTTTTTGCCGATTTTCATAGTATTTTTTTAAGAATTGCACTTTTAAGCACAAACAGTTCTTTTAAGAACTAAATTTTCGAGATTTTGTATTGATTGAACAAAGAATTTTTCGGTACCCTCAATTTTATATGAAAAAAGTAGAATACGAAAAGTAAAATATGATTTTCGTATTAATCATCTTGATCAGCAATTTAACTACTGATTTTAAAGCTAATTTTTACTTAAACATGAGCAGTTTCTGGGCTGTATTTATAATTAAAAATGTTAACTTGGTACGTAAAGGGAAATGTGAACAAATTTATTAAATAAATTTAATAACAAAAACACTTATTAATATATTGTACAGTGTGGTCGAAATTTGTCTGTTTTAACAGAGAAATTCTATTTCCTGGCTAGATAGAGCAAAACCGACATAGATGTCATGAGCTCGATTTCTGAGACACGTTTAATGGCGCAAACCGCCTTTTGATATTTTCACTACCAAATGAGATACGGGGTCTTTTTGAATTTTTTACCATTTTGAAAATTGCCCATAACTTTTTTATTTTGCGGAATAATAAAATTCTGTAAAAACGTTCTTAAGGCACTTTTTTAATCACAATCCAGTGGCGTAGTCAGTTTTTTTCTATGCTTGCTCTTTTTGTCAGAAATAATAAAAACTAATTTTTAGCCGACCATCCATATCAACAGGTATGGTAGGCTATTAAGATCGACAAAAAAAAAGTTTTTTTAATTTCACTCAAAATGAGCTAAATACAAAATATTATCATGGTGTCTGTCTGTTTGTCTGTTCGTCTGTCTGTAACACGAAAGCTCAAAAACAGCTAAACCGATTTTAACCAAATTTGGCACAAAAATACTGTGGCACCCGAGAATCTGGCCATTAGTTTTTGGTGGGGAGTTGGTAAGGGGGTATGGAAGGGGTTTAAAAACGTTAAAAAATCGTAACTCCAAAATTACAGTAGCTAGCGAAACGCGGTTTTCAATTTAAGATTAGGAATAATATTTGCAACAAAATTTGTAATAACATCAAAATCAAAGTTACAGTTTTTGAGATAATAAAAATTGGAAAAATTCCTTTACTTTGAAACTAAAAGAACTGCCTACCAACTTTTTAAATACTAGAAATCATAGTTGGCTAAAAACTTCTGGCGTTTAACCCTTTCCATCGATATAAAGTTATGGGTATCTATTTCTAAGAATGAGAGAAATATTAGGTTTTTTTATCGTTATATCCGAGCGGGCCTTGATTTTGTGTTGACCTATTTAGCTAATTATTTTTTATCACAATTGAATATTCTATATTATTATTTATCTGCATAATTAAAGACTTTTGAAAAGGTAAATTAACATTCTATTATTATTAGTAATAATAATTATTAATATTAGTATATACAACCGATATCGATACAATAAACAAAGAACAAAACTGAAAAAACGTATTTTTTAAGTGACGAATATAGTTTTCTAAAAAAATCAAAGATGTTCAAACTGAGCACCTCCTTGTTGAATACACAATAAACATCTTTTGCGCACAGAGTTACAACGATTTATTAGGCGAACTGGTGTAAGAAGTTCAAAAGCTTGTCTAGTAGCCTTCTGCAATTCTTCTCTCGTCCCAATGGTTCTTCCTTTTTTTATAAGGTTTTTTAATTTCCCCCATAAAACAATCGAAAGGAGTTGAATGACAGGACCTAGCAGGCCAAAATATGGGCTCGTTGTTCCAACCCAATTCTCTCTAAATTCTCCATTTAATAGTTCAGTTGTAACACTGGCGTTTTAATTGTAACTGGTAATACTAATATAGAATGCTGATTTACCTTTTCAAAAGTCCTTAATTATGCAGATAAATAATAATACAGAATATTAAATTGTGATAAAAAATAATTAGGCAACTAGGTCAACAAAAAATCAAGGCCCGCTTCGATACAAAGATAAAAAACCTAATATTTCTCTCATTCTTAGAAGTAAATACACATAACTTTATATCGTTGGAAAGAGTTAAACGCCAGTATTTTTTTAAGTTCATAGCCAACTATGATTTCCATTTAAAAAATTACATTTTTTATTATTTCTGACAAAAAGAGCAAGCGTGGAAAAAAATTGACCTCGCCACTGAATTGTGCTTAAAAAAGTGCCCGAAGAACGTTTTTACAGAATTTTATTATTCCGCGAAATACAAATGTAGAATGTAGAATGTTTAGAGGGGAGTTAATCACCGCGACCTTATAGATCTATTGCGTGTTCCCCTTTCTTGAGTTATAACGAGTTATAACTCATCATACAGTCTCAGGGCTTTAAGAAAAGCCAGTATCTGAGACGGCTCCACAGAGGCCAGCTCTCCATCCTCGACATCAGACGTACCAAGGTTCATGGCACGAATGGTCGTCGTCTCGGCGCACTCAGTGATAAGGTGTTCTGGTGTTTCCCCATTTTCCCTACAAAATCTGCATTCGCCCTTGTTTCTCAGTTTCAGCCTACTGAGGTGTTCGTTGAGGAGACAGTGTCCTGTTAGAAACCCCGTGACACTCCGAAGATTGTTTTTACTTAAATCAACCTTTGATTTTTCTCGGTCATAAGTTCTAAGGAACTTTTTCGAGTGTCTTAGACCGTTGGAGGACACCCATTCCAAGTTACGGATGGAGTCTTCCAGATTCTTCAGTTCCGCTTTCAGTTGGTTCCCGTTTGGAAAACAGAACGGTTCTGGTCCAGTTAGTGGAGTGTTCGCTCCTTTCATTGCCTTCTATCCCTTGGTGAGCAGGCACCCAGAGTAGGAGGACTTTATTTTCTTTGCCTAATTTGTTGAGCTTCTCTAGGCATTCTTTGACCAACTTCGAATTGATGCTTACTGAGTTGATCGCGTTAAGTGCTGCTTGACTATCGGATAGGATGGCAATTTCCTGTTTTCGATAGTTCCTATCTAAGATAAATTGTACGTATCTTTCGACAGCGCAAATTTCTGCCTGAAGGATACTGGGGTAGGTGCCCATTGATTCGGAGTATTCAGTTTTCGGCCCAAATACTCCTATCCCTGTCCCTGCTTTGGTTTTGGAAGCATCAGTATACCACGTGATGGTATGGTCTTTTATATGCTGAGTAAGCGTTTCTTTCTTCCAATTCTTTTTATTACTCAATACTACAGTGAGGTGTTTCTCAAAGTTGTAAATTCTTGGTATGTCATCCACTGGGAGTTGGAGAAGTGGAATTTTTCTTTGAGGGTGTTCCAAGCCCTGACCTGAAAAAATTCTCCCAGTACTGTTTCCGTCAGTAACTATTCTAATCATTGTCGCATTGGCATAACTACTGACGACAATGTGCAGTGGTGTTAGGTCTTAGAATGACCTCCATTGCTGCTGTTGGACATAGTTCTCATGGCACCTGTGATGCAGATACATGCCAGTCTCTGTACTTTGCACAGGTTTTGCCTTGCTGTACGTTGCTCTAGTTTTGTATACCAAGCAACTGCTCCATAAGTAATCATGGGTCTTACTATCATGGTATGCATCCAGCGCAAAATGTTAGGGGCGCAGCCCCACCTATTTCCCGCCAGTCTTCTGCATATCATGAGAGCCTTTGTGGCTTTGCTGGTAATGTTCTTAATATGCCTGTTCCAGAGAAGTTTACTATCCAGGGTTATTCCCAGATATTTCACTTCCTGTGATCGCAGTATTTCCTTTCCATCTAGATGGATTCTTTTCAAGTTTTTCAAACTTCACTTTCTGGTGAATGGCACTACTGCGGTTTTATCTGAGTTAATACTCAGCCCGACAGTCCTGCACCATCTCTCAGCGATGCGGAGTCCTCTTTGGATAATATCACACAGGGTGCCTTCATGTTTCCCCCGTGCAATGATGACTATGTCATCTGCGTACCCTATGCAGTGTATTCCCGCTAGAGTTAATTCTTCCAGTAGTTCATCCAGTACCAAGCTCCACAGTAGAGGGGAGGTCACTCCACCTTGTAGAGTTCCTTGCGTTGTTTTAACAACTACAGTTTTGGTACCTATCTCAGCCTCTGCTGTTCGTGTTGAGAGCATTTTTCAAAACCAGCGAATTATCGTACTGTTCACCCCACTTGTTTCAAGAGATCGCTTGATCACCTTAACTTGCCTACCTTAATTATGCAGATAAATAATAATACAGAATATTAAATTGTGATAAAAAATAATTAGGCAACTAGGTCAACAAAAAATCAAGGCCCGCTTCGATACAAAGATAAAAAACCTAATATTTCTCTCATTCTTAGAAATAAATACACATAACTTTATATCGTTGGAAAGGGTTAAATGCCAGCATTTTTTTAAGTTCATAGCCAACTATGATGTCCAATTATATTTTTTATTATATCTGACAAAAAGAGCATGTATAGAAAAACACTGACTACGCCACTGGATTGTGCTTAACAAAGTACGTTAAGAACGTTTTTACAGAATTTTATTATTCCGCGAAATACAAAAGTTATGGGCAATTTTCCAAATGGTAAAAAATTCAACAAGACCCCGTATCTCAGTTGGCAGTGAAAATATCAACAGGCGGTTTACGCCATTAAACGTGTTTCAGAAATCGAGCCCTTGACATCTATGTCGGTTTTGCTCTATCTAGTCAGGAAATAGGTTTTCTCTATTAAAACAGACCAATTTTGACCACCCTGTACATTAATTAACATATAATCTAGATTGCATTAGAAACAGTCCAATTTAAGAATTTACAACCAGGTATAAAATACACAGGTTGTTGGTTTGTTACTCATTCAAATTTGTTTTAAATTTTTCAATTTTGAAATAGTTTTAATTAATTAGTAATGTTCTTTTTATTTTGTGTTTCAGATAATGGTGTGGCTTCATTAGTTTCTTCATTGGTAACAATTATAATATTAACACTTTCTTTATTGTTAACGACCTGAAGCATGGAACAATAATATAGAAAAAAAAATTAACCCAAATTTACTTAAAAACTATTTTTCTATGTAATTATGTAAAACAATTTTTAGAAAAATACAATGTAATTAAAATGTATAATATGTAAAAAAAAACTATTGTATATAACATTAATTAGTTTAGGTGTTTTGTATTTGTACAGAATTTAAAATATTGTACATTAATATTGTGTTTGTTAAGTTTAATGCCAAAAAATATACCAAAGTATCAATTATAAATTAAATTATTGTGTATAAAATATTTATTTTGTCTAACTATTAATGCTAGTCTAAAAAAGTAAAAGAATTTATCTAATATAAATTTTATGACTATACCTATCCGCAAAAAATATTAAATTTATATAGGGGCATAATGGGGAGGTCATCATTTTACCCCGATCGAAACTCACCGTTTTGCCCCATTTATGTACAGAAATGTTTAACTAAAATAACACGTAGCTAACCTCAAATAACCTATATATAGCATTCACAGCCAGAAAATAAAATGATTACGTTACGTGCTAAATTAAACAACTTCAATACAGAATTTAAAACAAGCCAGTTAACAAGCAGTACATACCGTGTAGATTTTTTTAAATAATCGAATAATTTTCTTCAACCAGACATTTCACCATTACTGCACAAACTGACACGCTGAAACTTTTGTTGGAGTGCGTCCGTTAGCAAAACTACATACTGCAGCAAAAAGCGAGATATGGTGCTGCATGTATCATTTATATATATCACATCCCCGTTTTGCCTCGCGTCGCCATTTTACCCCTATTTCCCCTAATAATTTTTTTATTAGCCAGGTAACAAAATAGCTCTATAAATTTAGAGTAATAATTAAAGACATTAATATTCTAATATTGTTTTATAGTAGTGTTTAAAACATTGATTTGTTACGTTAATGTGGCACATGAGACTATTTTGTATTAAATTGTTTTTTTTAAATATTTTGTAAGAGCGTTCTTAGAATGTTAATATTACCTTATAAGTAAAATAATTTTAGAACAATCGAACTTCAAAATCGAATCATTAAAGGTGGCTACACACACTACGGCAAGAGTGACAAGCATGCATGAACTAATTTACCTTCGCCGCCACAGGGTACATGCATGCTTGAACAAGCTTCAGTTTATGCCGCGAAAATGTCTGATTCGGACGACGACTTGCTTGCTTTGGCTGCTTTTTACCTTACCCTAAAAGAAAATGAAAAAAAGAAGCGGGATGTGTGGTGTAAAGAGTGGTTACTGAAAAGAAGAACCTACTCCCATATTAATTTACTGTCTGAATTGAGGATATATCCGCGTGATTGACATCATTATCTCAGAATGAATGAAAAAAGTTATTTGAAGCTTTTGTCACTCGTAACATCTTTAATTAAAAAACCTTCTTCGCCCTATCATGATATTCTGGTGATTTAATTCGCCAAACACGCTGATATTCGTAAGCGCGAATAAAATCTTCCAATAATCCTCGATTGCTCCTTTTCAGATCGCTAGACATGATGGCGACACGACGCGGACGTACAGGTCATTTACTGAACTAATTGTTTATACAAGCTGAATACATGTGGTACACACGTACCGTTTCGCTTGCACAAGCATGGCTTGTCCAAGCTTGCATGATTCAAATTCAATCAATCATCAAGCGGCTTGCACAATTAAAATGCTTGCGTAAGTTTTCCCTACAGACGCTACAGTTTGCTTGTACAAAAAGATTGTTCATGCATGCTTGTCAAGCTTGCAGTAGTGTGTGTAGCCACCTTAAGAATAATACCGTTGTAATCATAGACTTAAAGTAAAATATAGACTGAGCATCTCATTCATAAATAGCTGGAACGTGCGGTCAGACAATGTCTTGTTATTGTTGTGTTATTGTTTTAGGTTATAACGAGTGCGACACGAGCGATAGATAGGTTGTCTCTGTCATAACGGTCGTTCCCTGACGACTCTGCCGAGAAACACAACACTGTCTTTCGTTTCTCAAGTACACCTGAACTCTCCGTATCATAGCCGGGTAATTTTTTTATTCTAACGAAGCTATAATTAAATTAAAAATATATCGTATTTAAACTTTTTATATTTTATTAAGATTTAGGACAGGTTTTTTAAATAAAAGTTTAGATAAAACGTCTTAGAGTCCAAAATGGATAAAAATAATAAAATACACGTTATAGAAGAAATTTTATAATCGAAATTATGTAATTTGATAATAAATTATTAATTTCAAAAATTACGTAATTTCGATTTAAATTAATAATAAATTATTAATTTTAGTCAAATATTTACAACCCCTAATATTAATCAAAACAGGATCTATTCCACAGATATAATAGAATCGGCGACAGGGAGAGAAAAAAATATGATTGTTGTAATAACAAGATTGAGTATGTTAGTATATGACATAAATTAGGATTGATTGACGCATTCAATTGTTTTTGGTGACTTCCTGTTTCACCGGAAATGACTATAACTTTTAATTTTTAACGGCACCCTCGGTATATTTCTACTTTATTCGACAGAAAATGCAAATGGTTTAATTGTAATTGTAACATGCGGTTCATAACGACAATTTGACTCGAAAACCAAACCAAACCAAGTGTGTGGTATGAATATATTCATAAAAAAATGCTTTTTCCAAATATGCTAATGAGTCACCCTTGTTCTATTTGAAAAAATTGTTACATGTATGATTAAAAATACGATTTGTACATCTTTTAACCGGCCTAGACAAGACACGAAACCCATTAGACAATCAAAACTATTTTTCCAAGGCTTCTTGATTAAAACTTAGTGTTTTTAACAACACCATGGCACCCTGGATTGAAATTTAAAATACGATTTGTTTTTAAGCGACAATGTCAAAAGTTGACATATGATATGTCATTCTATTCAGAGTGTCATTTTTTATCGAATAAAGTAGCAATATACCGAGGGTGTCTTTAAAATCAAAAGATGTAATCATTTCGGTGAAACAGGAAGAGACCAAAACAATTGAATACGTCAATAAATCCTAATTTATGTCATATACCTACTAATATACAAATCTGTTTTTTATCTGAAAAATAAAAAGTTAAGGGGTGAGCCACTTTTGAGACGACCCGGTATATTAAAAAATATTGTTTCATAATGTAATATCATTTTAAAATTCTTGTATGTTATTTTAGATTCTGAAGATAATTTTAGAATAAACCGGAATATATTTTTAATAAAAACATTATTAATTATTAACAGGGTTATAATTATGATTTTGTTACAATGTAAGTAAGTAAATAATGTAATGTAAGAGAAAAAATTCAGATTTTACATTTTACTAAAATATTATCTAAATAAGCGCCTTTCTACAACAACGCCACTGACTCCCAATGGGTAAATTGAGAGTTGCCTACCGGTCAAAAGTCGTTTCAAGACTTAAATGGATTATTTAAGTCAAATTTCTTGCAAATTTGGCACTGGCGAACCATATTTTATAGTTCTTGAACAGAAAAAGTCAATAAAATAAACACTTAAGCACTACAAGCTAAGAAAATGCGTTAATACAGCCGGGGAGATAGCGGCAACAAAGCTTTACCGCACACGTGCGACACGTACTACAAGGTAATAAATGAATGAATAGGCTCCCTCGCCTCTAATCGGTGTTGTCATATTGTAAAGAACTTATCCTTTTTAAACAGTATCCGACTTATAATTTAGTAGTATAAGGACTATTTAATACATCTCTGGAATATTAAAACCTACTTTATTAAACTGTAGTATTAATATCTCAATATATGTGTATAACAAGAAAAAAAATAGTGATAATATTAAAGACGTGACAACATAGGCTGGATGAGGAAGGCTCGGTCGACTGTACCCAGAAGTAAACATGTGTACAAAAAAGATTGTTTGACCGCGTTGAGATGTAAATAGTGTAGTCTATATTTTATTTTAAGTCTATGGTTGTAATACAATCTCCTGTGAAACTCTTATAAAATTGTTGTGAGTCGTGATTCGAGTCGCTTAAAATCTTAGCTTAAAATTGTACTTTAAAGTAGTTATAGTTTGTTTGATGTTCTGTGGGAAAATGTTATATTTCCTATAGGAGAAAAGGTTTGAAAAATACGTCGACAATTTTTTCGATCTCTTCTTTAATACACTCCAGTCTGTACCGTGTGATCGAAAAAAAAACGGTGTCCAGTTGGCTTGGAAATAATGACATTCAGTGACATTCCCCATATAATTTTACATATAAAGTGACAGCGATCTTCATTTCATAGCCATAGCTGACGCCGTTTTTTTTAATCATATTGTACTTCAACTATGTTGTTCAAAGATGTATAACTTCATTTAAAAATCGAAAGACAACGATATAAGTATATACCTACCGTAAAATAAATCTTTATAAGTGGGTCTGTGTTTGTTCCTGAGAAAAAGATTTAAACGTTTATTGTTCTTTAATACGTTTCCGAAAGATTGTTTATAGATTCTTTAGAGAACGTTTTATTAAGTATTTGAAATTAGGTTATCTAAAAAAATATAGTGAAACCCTCATAAGAGATTTGTAATTTTGGCAGATGAACTACATTTGTGTAACTTAACAAAGTAGTAGTTTTGTAGCTCATAACAAGGCAAATGAAATTAAAAAAATAATATACAGGGTATCCCATTTCAGATCGGAGTATTTGGGCAGAGAACTAATTACCCCGAACCAGGGGTGGATGGGGAAGTGGAAACCGGCCCGGGAATAACAAGCAACCGGCCCAAATCCACAAAAAAAAATGACCATAACGAAGGAATATATTTTATTTATTAACTAGCGTGTACCAGCGACTTCGTTCGCGTCGAATTAATCATTTGTAATGGTGATGATAAAGCAAAGCAAGAATTTCCATTAACATACAAACTGGATAAAATTTTCTCCCATTTATGTCAGCATGAGAAAAAACAATATGGCGATATTATTATATAACTTGGTAATATTTGAGGGGTAGTTTCATCTCGTTGGAATTTGACTTTCGAAAAATCCGTTTAATGACGTAAAAAGCCAAAAATAAGCTTTTTACGTCAAGCAATTTCAGCAGAATTGTGGTTAAGAAGTTACCCAACTTTTTGGAACACCCTGTATGATTTTTTAAAAAATTTCAAAATATGTAAAAAACCAAATAAATTATGCTTCTCCAAGCGTTTTCCCGAAAGACTAACCGTTTTTTAAATAACAAATATTGTATTATTTGTTATTTACTCTTGGAGTTTGAGATTCGAGAAACCCCTCCTTA